CAAGAATAAAAGGCCATGCCCTTATACAGTGTCTCGGCACATCATTACTTTTTCCATGGCTTTCTGATTAGGGTGACCTTCTAATACGTCTGAAATTTAGAATGTTCTGTGTTTCAATACGTTTCATTTTTATTTATTTATTTCATACTAGATTCAATTTTTTTTTCATATTAGAGATTTTTTTTTTCCACATATCGAGTAGAGTCTTTTGCTTTGTATTCTTGTCAAGATTTCGATTGTGCTGTTCTATGGCTTTGCGAGCTTCTTCTTCGCTACGTTGATCATCGGTTATATTTGGATCTTTGTTAGTTGAATAATCGACATTTATTGGATCAAAACAATAACCTGGTATGTTTGGAGGTCGTATCAGACTGTTATCATTCCACACATATCCCAGTTCAAGAAATGATGGGTGTGGGGGCGTGGTTGTGGGTGGGTGTGGGTGTGGGGTGTGGGTGTGGGTGTGGGTGTGGGTGCGGGCGTGGGTGTGCGTCCAGATGCACGCCCACACCCACGCCCACACCCACCCACACCCACACCTTAAGCATATACATTGTATGAGAAGAATACTCAACGATTCTAACGATATTCTATTAATATTTAGAACAATATAGATCAAAAAAATATGCGTCATTTTAGATACTATTTCACTTTTTCCAGTCATCAACATCTGTGTACAACGCATCGGAATATTGAAGCGTATGCTTTAATGTTTGTACTCCGTCAATTTCATGTGAATATGTAACACATAGTCAACCATGGTTCTGGAAATAGGATAGTTTGGCTTGGACATTTCTTTTCGTATACTACATATAGACCCTTCCATACAATTGACGATCTTCTTCTGTTCGGTATTCATCTATGCTCTCTTTTCTATTTTAGATACTCAACAAGTACTATAAATAATTGTTATTCAATTCGATTGACTTCAATGGCTGAACAAACTGATGACTTCATCGATACAGGAGACTTAGCAACTGTTGACGACTTGAAAGAAGAAGGTGACCAGTTATTGCCTGCATTAAGGGGACTCCCCGTTTCCCGAGCCAAAAAGTTTTTTTAAGGGATTTTTTTTTTCATATAGAGGTGTATCAAGGTCCCCTCAATGTGTGCTATAAAAATCAGAACCATCCAAGGTCGGGAAGTCTGTGAAAAACCAGGTTTTTTGGAGATATGTGCAACAAAAAAAAATTTTTTTTTTAACATAAAGTTATATTATGATATGGTATACCTATACTTACGTATAAGCGGAAAAAAAAATTTTTCTACAAGTTTTTTTTTTTTGCATTTTTCTCGAAACCAGTTTTTTGGGTATGAAAAACCAGTTTTGCCCGCCTTTTCTCCGCCATTTCAAGTCCGATCAGACTGAAAATTTTTTTCGCGAGACTTCAAGTGATTTGGGTTGGACTTTTTTTTTTTGGATACCTTCTACTAATCAAGTTTGGCAGGCTTCGCAAAATTTTTAAGATCCAAAAAACCTAGAGATTTTGCGAAGTGCCCAGTATTTTGGTTCTCCAGCCTGAAGTATTTGGAATTTTTGAAAAAAAACGTCCGCCCTGATTGGGTCCGTCTACCCAAGGTAAAAATTTCACCTCAAACGGATGAAATCTGTGGACTTGAGGGAAGGCAAAACTTTTTGCAAGTTTTTGACCTCGGGGTCTCTGGAAGTCCATGAAGATGACGTCTGGCAAATTTGTGTCCATGACAACTTTTGCTCTACTATTCGAGGTCTATCTACCCTGAAAATTTCAGGAATTTTCGTTAGGCCGTTTCTTAGAAAGGGGGGGGGGGGGGGGGGGGGGTCCCCTTAAAGGTGATTCAGGTGCACTTGTTGAATGAGCAGACGAATATAATTTCACAATCTAACTATTGTGGTGATAGAGACCAATAAGTCTTTACTCAGGAATGGTTAGTCCTTGTAATTGCTATGGTACATCTCTCATTAATACTTTATTGGCAGCTGAAAACTTGCGTACTTTGCTTTCACCAAAGATTATCAACACTTCGTAAAAATATCAGTGTACCGAAGATTATCTTTTTTTATCAATAGTTATATGCCAGCTTGCTCCATAGAGAAATATAATGTTTACGCAAGCAAACAATTGATCATCCATTGATGATTTTATATTCCTATCTATAATAAAAAATTTGCATTAATCTTGTTAGATTAAGTATTAAGTGGATCTAGGTGTGCCTAAAGAACTGATCCAATCATACTCCCACACCCACACCTACAGTTTGTCAAAAAGCAGCCTACATCAACACTCCATATTCACAATCACTCTACACCTCACAACCAAATTCACACCCACGCCTAAACACAGCTAAACCCACACCTACCACATCTCATACAGTCACACTTACATTCACCACACGCCATACATTCACATTCATACCCAGATTAAAAAGCAGATAACTCTTGAAGCTAATTATCGCATCTCCAAAGAATCTGCTGTTTTTACTTTTTTTCTCAGCGTGTTTTAAGCTTTGCCGATTAAACACACCTTTCCTCTAACTGCGCCAATATCTGTCAAAAAAAGTCCAACTATAAAGATAAAAATATTTCATTGCCATGTCTCTTTCGTCAACAACAATCTTATCGTTGCTCTCTTCAAGCTTATCTCTTCAATGATGAAGTAATCTATACAAGGAGGCGACTTCGGCTGCATTTTCAGCGATTTTTGACTTTTATAATATTTCAATTCAACTGCTATACGTAAGTACGTCTAAAGTCCAATATCAGGTTGGGGATCCATCAGAAGAGAGGAAATCAAGAAGCTG